ACGGACTTGGGGAAGGAAGGGATGGAGAGATAGAAATGGATTTTGACGTCAAACACAGCACCAAGCTAATCCAATATACCTATTCACAACCCCTTCTCAAACTGTCAGCAACTCCTGGAAAAATGTCAAAGGAAAAGCTTATTATGAGTATCCAGGGAATGAAAATGCAGCAGTAGAAGGAAAAAATATACTTCTATCATGCAGCAATTCGGTAACCATAAATTGAATTTTGGAGTAGCTTATAAGATGTATTTGCCATCCTTGAAGATTCCCTTCTTTCTTCATTCTGTTTAGTCTACTTTCATGGTACGGACAGACAGATACTAAATCTCACACACTCTCTCCAAATGAAAACAGCATAATAACAGACGTGAAAGATCACCTTCTCCTTCTGTTTGTAGAGGGAATCAATCTTTTTCATATATTCATCTGTCACTTTCTGCACACAACCAACCAAGGGAAGAATCAAAGGCAGAAGCAGTTTTGCAATCCAGAGAACAAGACGGGCACCGATTACACATGAGAAAATACGGCACTCAATATAAAACATCAGCTATGGTTTTGAGAAAACGAGGACAAGAAAGAAAAACTAGAACGCGCCAAAGAATAGATATCCGCGTGTTTCCTGGACAGTTACACTTTCTGATTGTACAATAGAATTAGTGCTTGTAATTATTGAGACAGAACACCAATATTAATTAATTACCTGCAGATCACTGGACAAGTCTTTCACATTGTCCTCGGACAGCTTTTTCTCCTGGAAGTAGAGCAGGTGGTAACAACTGAGAATCCTAATTTAGTGTGAAGTAAAGTAATCTAAAGTACAGACCTTCTCAAGTTTTTCATAGGATTTGATGGCATCTCTTCGTACATTCCTCAATGCTACCTTAAGGTAACAAATAAAGAACAGTAAAGCTTAGTTTTCCAACAAGAGTAATCAAAATGTAAAGAAATAACATATTATACGAATTTCTATAAACATAATATTCATAGTGAACCTTGCTGGTATAAAAAATAAAAATTAATCATTCAGTGATCTCTTAGGACACGCACAACCACAATAAATCAATAATTAGTCTACCCATGCAGCCTCAAACATGCTGTCAAGGTAATATGAATCATCTAAAGACTTTTGAGCATATGTACAAAACTACATGTTCTTTACAGTAAAAAATCGACTGACAGCCACAACTAACTCAAACATTAGAAGGCCAGAGAAGTGTATCTTCTGATGCAAATTGAGTTACAGGCTAAGCACCTCATTTGAAATCTCACATGCTCCAAAAGGGACCATGAAACGAATAACAGGTACACATAATAGTTGAGCAATTCCAACCCATCCAATAATGTCTAGAAATTTACCTTCCCTTCCTCAGCTTGTTTTGCCACAATTTTTGATAGTTCCTACGAAGATAAAGATGAAAGAGGAGGAAATGCAAGTTTAGATATTGAGGCTATTCAAAAACAGGGAATAATTCAACTTGCCAGATATCACTATTTTCAATTTGTAGTAAAAGTTTAAGTTTTAGCATACGACATTAATTCCATGAAGTCCTCCTTTCAACATAAAAGCAGGTCATACCTTTCTCCTCTCTAATGTAAGTTGGGGTATTGCCAGCCTTATAACTTCTCCATCATTGTTTGGTGTCATACCAAGGTCAGAGTTGACAATTGCTTTTTCTATAGCCTTCAAGCTGAAACAATAGAAGTCAAATAGATTTCATGGATTAGATACAGATATCAAGAAACTTACTCATTTTCTTCACACAACAGAAGTGAGTTTCACTTGATCTTCTATTTCAAGTATGGATTAATGAAAGCATACGCGGATTTGTCATAGGGTTTCACCAAAAGTGAACTTGCATCAGGAGTACTAATTTGAGCTATGCTCTTCAAGTTGGTTGGTGCTCCATAGTACTCCACCTAGTGAGGAGAGGTTGGGAGAAATGGTAAGTACATAGATGTTAAATGCCAGTAGAAGTATCCAATACAAAACCTAACAATAAATCTTAATAGTTTTGATGACTAACTTTTGATTCAAAATGTCATAAAAATGGCTCGTTTGCTATGCTGGTCAAATTTTTTGCATCAGGCAAAGAATAATAAATTACGATCATAAGTATAGATATAAAGTTTATCTGCCTTAATCATGAAAATTGGAAAAAATTCATGACAGTTCTCTTTTTAACCAAAGATATTCAGAATCAGGGGCATTAAGCTTTTAGTCCTGCAATCCATGGTTTACCTTCAATAGATCAACAAAAATTGCAGAATGCTGCAAATATCCCTGTTTTTGCATGTCTTCACACCATAATCCTAGCCGAAACAAGTTAAGAAAAAGGGGGAAGGAGAGTGGAAGTGGACGTAACCAAAGAAAACCTGAGATCATAATCCTAGCAAATATTCCTGTTCATTCCTGGGAAATGGGATATAAGGTAGAATTTCCAATTTCGATATCTGAAATGCAAAAGCCATATTTGCCCATGAAAAAGTTGAGAAAGCTGTGTTGATCTGATGAAACTGAAAATTAATTTTTGCATTCTACACATGCCTTAGGCTCAGCATGCCTAATTCTAGCCACATAAAATCACAAATTACAATTGAAATTGCCAGATACTCACAACTTTGATGAGCTTTCCAAATCTTCAAGCCTTTTAATCTAATTTTTAGTGCTTATGCAGTACCCAATACAACAATACTAGAATTGCTTTTGATATTTAATCAATTGTAGATTTCTGCATCTATGCCTGGTATAGAATGAAGACAAAAGTAGCTCATACATTGGAATTCATACCTCAATTTTGTCCAGCATTGCCGGGTTTGATCTACCGGTCCTAATAGAATTAAAACTCGAGCGAACTGTGTCAACAGTCTTTTCCATTCTTTCTTTCTGAAAATGAAATCAAATATAGAAAGTTGACAATTTTGTGGGGGAATTGAGCATCCTGAAGTCTTGCATTACGCGCCTTTAGAAGTGGAGCAAAAATTAAAGTGGTCTATCCTTTTATTTTCTGAGGACTTTAGAACTTTCTGCAAAATTATTATACAAAAAAAAAACCCAAAAAAGGCACTTACAACGTCTTCTTCAATGAAAGATTTCTCAGCTTCTATTTCTTCTATGGTTGCACACCTCAAAACTCGTCTGGAAAACACTCAAACCAGAGATAAAAGGAACAAAAAAAGATTAAATCCCTAAACAAAGAAAGAAAAGAAAGAAAGCTATAACTCTCAAAAATGAAGACAATCGACAACCCTACATTGTTGAGAGATAAGCAGGCTTGAAAAAAAAAAGAAAAAAAAAAAGCCAACTGTGTAAAAACTATCCAACCCACAAAAGAAATAAATTTCGGGAATGAAGATAAGGAAACAAGCGAGGAAATCCCAAAAAATTCCACTTGCCTCTTCTGCAAGAGGTGTTTAACAACAAGGGGCTTTGCAGCAGAAGCTCTGAGCCTAACCTCAAGCTTGACATAGTTGGAAGCCGCGCCGCAAGACACATTTTTCGAACCTGAAAGATGAGAATCTGCAACATCACTTCAACGCAGTAAATAGTTAAAGTTCTGCAAGCAATTTCTTACAAAGAAATAAAAGGACAAGGGAGGTTTAAAGGTAAACCTTGGGGAGGTTGCAGGGAAAGAAGAATTTTGGGTTTATGCTGATAAATGGACCCCATGGGGGTTGAAGGGGAGAAATTCATAGCCATTGCCGTCGAGAAAAGAATAATGGGGGTATTTTTTTTAATGATTTTTGCTGCTTATCAGAGTGCAGAAGAAAGAAAGACTCCAGTCAAGTGTGCAGAAATATGACGTGAAGATAAGAAGACGGACGAAGCCGCAGCGGAAGACAGGCGTTCGGGAAACGAGACAAAACGGATTGAACAAAAGCGCGAGACGAATGCTACGCTTCTTCGATAAAAGCTTCGAATACGAGCGCGTCTTATGCAATCAACACTGTAACCCCGTTCGGTCAAAACAGTTTGGTTTCTTTTGGGGTTGGGTTAAGTTGGTTTAAGCCCTCTGGTTCTGGGAGGATTTTGGCATTTGAAAAAAAAAATCTCCCAGTCTTTTGAGAAGTTTCTGGTCCAGCAAATTTTGGGCTAGTGCTGATCAAGTCCATCTTAAGTCCAACAATAGATAGACGTTCCGAATTTCTGAGTAACATCCATGTGAATGTGGGTTTGCAAAGAATTGAGTTTTGGGCTCCGCCCTCGGCCCTTGATCCACATCTTTGAGAAGGTTAGATCTCCTACCGGCTACCACTGTTTTACTGAAAATTTTTAATTCTTATCCTCTTGAATTCCTCCTTAATTTGTAAAAAGCTTTCTTCTAGTAACCGGAAAAAAAACATAGCGACGGATAGAACTTCTTCCTTTCCAGCACCAACAACCAAAAAAAAAAAAAAGAAACAAAAAAGAAAGGGATTGGGCTTTAGACAGATAGTAATATCAATAATAATCTATTAAGCATATAATATGAACAAGACTTTCAATTCTTCACTCTTTTCAACTAACACGATAATATGCACTCTCGACTCTGTCTTGAATAACTTGACTAAAATCCTAACTTGACTAAAACTTACTAAATAACAATATAGAAATTTTCTAATTTTGAGTCTTGATTTAATATGCCAACAGTAATTCGTATTGTTGACTGATGATCCTTGTAAAAGCACAAGGAACAAATTAACATGATGGTTGTTATGATTAAGACAGAAAGAGATTGATTAGGTAGGGATTAATGGAATCGTGTTGGACAGGCATCAAGTGATCATCATGCATGATGCGTTGCTGTGAGTGCTCCAAACGCTGTGGGGATCCCGTAAGAAAAGAAAGTCCATTGGAGACTGCGAGACGGAGGGTTTTATATATACATACCATCACCAACACAGCCCTCTACCCAGATGTTTTTTTTTTATTTTTATTTATTATTTTGCATTAGTGCATTGAATTGAACCTTTAGTTAATTTGCCTTCAACAACCAACGCCATTAGTAGTTACCCAAACCCATATATAAAAACAAAATTGATTGGCTTGGTTTGAAGTTGTCATAATAATAATAATCATGGATTTTGGGAGAGAAGCAGTCGTGCTTGTCCTCACTGCTATAACAATGGCTGTTTTGGGGGCGGCTTCCACTGTTCACACGGTTGGTGATATTGGCGGTTGGAACTCAGACCGTGACGTGGATTATTACGATTGGGCTGCTAGCAGGGAATTTCATATTGGCGACATTATCCGTACGTAAGCTCAATTATCAGTTGATGGTAATCATGTTGGGTTCTATTTCCGGTTTATTTTAGATTGATGCTGATGATAAGTAGCCGTCGATGCCGTCAGTGATTGAACAGTTCTTGATAAATTGCCTGTGTAGATTTCAAGTACGATCCAGGGTTTCATAATGTGGTGGAAGTGAGGCGGGCGGACTACCACGCATGCGATGCAGCAAATCCCATAGCCACCTACTCGTCGCCGTCGGGGAATGACTACATCAAGATCGAGAGACACGGCCACTACTTCTTCATCTGCGGCTGCGTTGATCACTGCGCACTCACTAACCAGAAGGTTGATATCAGAGTCCCTAAAGACCTCGACGTGATTAACTAAGCTCCTCCCTCTGATTTACACTCCTGCTGCTTAGTTAATACTACGTACAACAGTTGCCAATAAACAAATGGGATTAGGGCTAGGCTATTTGATTATGAATCTATTGTGGTTGATTTGATCATTACACATCTTAATCTCTTTCATTTCCTGCTGTACTTCGATCATCTTCGAATCAGCTGTTCAATGTGGGCCTTTTTTAAACGCTGGACCTCATACCCATTTTCTGGGGTTAGAATGATGATATTCTTTTGAGAATATATTGACATTCATTTTGTACGAAATATTTGAATAATAAAAAATGAATCAAAATTTATTGTGATTAATCAAATGGCAAAAAATTTGCTTAACTTCTTATGAAATTTTATGTATAATGTACACAAGTGACGAAATATATATATTATGAACGGCATGCAGACATTGGATATATTCCAAAAAAAACAATTTTTAAATTAATTTTATTAAGGTATAATGGAGAGAAACATTTTGTAAGCTTCATCTTATAGCCAAAGACTGTTGTATAGACTAGTGGCAGTTGTAGTGAAAAACATTTTGTCTTTTTAGTGAAAATTAGTAGTATTACTTTTATATATCACTATTAATTACTTCTCTCATCTTTGCTATGACCCGAGGCTGAAGCCTAATTGCTTCTCTGATCGTGCTGTGCTAATGGTTAACGAGTGAAACCTTTCCTAAATGATTTTGCCAGTCATAAATTTCGATAGAATTTTTTAACCTGCATGCAAAATTCATGCAATAACTGTTTTACTGGCTAAATATTTAGCCGACCCCTCGGGCTAGGTTCTCAAAAAAAAATAAAAAAAAGTTACCCGAGTTTGCTAAAAATCTTAAAAAATAATTTGACGCTAGGCAAAATTTCCTAATCGATCGTTTAACCTGAGTTCCTTCCTCCACAAGAATTTGACGCTAGGCACCAGCTACGTACATTCGAGGAAACCTGTCGAGAGATTTCAAATCTCGATCGATCATGCCCTGAATGAATTTATGGCAAGAGAATCATTGATTTAAAGATTTGCGGGTATATATGACGGGGATACACTGAACTGGAAATCTTCAATCAAATCTTTTTTATTTCCATTCTTGAGCCGTTTAGCTTTCTCATATATATGACAGACGACATCTTAAATTAAACCTCCTCTATCGCTAATACATCCACACATACACTCTGCAGTGGTTTAGGTGATTAGCCATGGTTTTCGCCAAGAAAACCCTTTTTCTTTCCTTCTTGTTGATGGTAAGTAGTAGTGTTTGTCAGAAGTCGAAGGCTCATGTGTACACGGTTGGTGATGCTGCTGGCTGGACGAATATTGGCCGCGTTGACTACAAAACTTGGGCCGCTACAAAGATTTTCCATGTTGGGGACATCATCTGTAAGCCATTCGTTTTTAATCAGTATTCGTCGTCATTCCTTGTTCTTGTCGTCGCTGTCTATTTGGGTGGTAGTTTCATCAAGTTAATGGACTTCGGTGTTACTTCAATATTGCTGTCCTCTTCCTTATCTTTTTTCCCTGGTCTTGAGAATTAAAATAACAGTAGGGCCAAATCTCTCAGTATGATCTACTGCTAGATAGAGAGTATGAGAACTAGCTTGATTCAGTTAAAGCTGAAGGATTTTAATCAACGTTTCTTGAATACTTCAACAACTATTTTAGGGTGTCCTCAGAAACAGAATCCTATTAAAGAATCAGAATACATTATAGAAATCCTACCTGGCCCGTTGCAGATTGGAGATCCGAGTTCAGTCGTTCGAAGATAATTGCTCCAAGCAATTGTCAGCGAACATTGGATATTTGTCTGATCGATGGTTAAAGAATATTCAGATTTGATTACCAAACTTCTTCGTGATATAGTATCAAGGTTTTGATCTTTGTCACAAGATATTTCTGCCTTAGGAATTAATTATGACATGCGATAAAGCTTTTTTTTTCTTTTTCTTTTTTGTTAATGAAAAACAATAAAGCTTTTAGTCTATAGTCTGTCTGTTGGAAACTTCACTAAATAGAGAGATGCATGGTCGCAGGTGTGCATCACGAAACGCCATGTGTGTGGGTATATGTGTATGTATAGTTTAGGGTTGGAACAAAGTTACAGATTTAAGCATTGGAATATTCATTTTTCCCAAGATCCAATAGAGAGGAATTAATTTTCAATTGGATGAAACTGTTGACCCGACTAAATTCACATATTTACCGCTCATCCATAGGGTAGCATACAATACAATTCTTTTTGCATTTACGTGATTGATGTAATGAGCTTTCAAAAGAACGTAAGTTGAAGTTCCAAATGATGATAGATAGTAGTATTAATTAATTTGTTTTTGTTTTGCAGTGTTTGAATACAACAAACAGTTTCACAACGTGGTACGAGTGACTCACAAGAATTTCAACTCATGTAATTCCACCGATGCTTATGCAACCTGGGTCTCCGGCAATGATTCATTCCTCATTCAGAGGCCCGGCCACTATTACTTCATCTGCAGCCTTACGGGTCACTGTCAATCTGGACAGAAAGTTGATATTAGGGTCCCCGGAGCTGGAGCTCACTCACCCTCTCCCGCCCCGGCACCTATCCCCACTCCTTCCGTCCCACCCCCGCCCTCAACATTCCATCCTCCACCGCCGCCCTCGACATTGCCGCCTCCGCCACCCTCAGTGTTGCCTTCTCCGCCCTCGACTTCGCCTGGAAGCGCTTCTCCTGCTCCGGCTCCCAGTAGCGCTTCGGCCTTTTATTCACCCAGGGGGCTGCAGATGAAGGCTCATTTCTGGTTGTCTACTCTGGTACTGGCGGCAGTGCTTAATGGATTCGTTGGTTAGAAGACAAATTGCACCTTTAAAATCCCTCGCTTTTTATTAGAATTGGTGTCGTGGTTCTTTATTCATCTAGTACAACTTAGTGTGGCAATTCTCCTAAAGCATTTCCTCCAACAAAGTTCCGAAGTTTTCCCTTTGCAATTTAAGCGAGCTCTTAAACATATCATACGTATCATGATTCGAATGACTAGCGACAAAGAGACGGCTACTTTTTAACTTTTTTGGCTAATATAATCATAAAAATATCGCAGCGCTATAATATGTAAAGAGGAAACTACACGTATTTAAGAGTTTTTTCTAAAACCAAAAAATAGTTTTTTTTTCCCCTCCTATTTTGGTGTTTCTTGGGTTTCTGCAAATGGAGGCTTTTGCTTGATGGACTCTTCAGGTCATGTCCCCTGTTTTCAGGGCTTCAAAACAATGGGTTGAGTGTTGGCCCATGATCTGTTACTCACAGATGCGTGTGTAGACCGGGTTAAGTTCTAAGGACGAAACATCAGTCCTCAGCATCAACACCTTGGGCTTGCGCAATACACAGCTGGCCCAAATTTAGATTGGGGAGGATCGACCGTACCCCGCCCATACTCATGCATTTGGAATGCAGAATTTGTATGAATTTATTAAATAATTTATGTTAAATCTAAAATCTAAATATAAAAACCCCAAAATCATTGTTGTCTAAAGAGAGAAATATAATGAAATTTGTGCTTGGCAAAGAGCAAGTAGTAATGTGAGGTAATTGATAGAGTTTTTTTTTTTTTTTTTCCTCTTACGATTACGAACTGGATGTATGCTGCATGATTTCTATTATCATGTTAAAAGAAATGGTACTAACAATAATGCAAAATAATCTTTTAAAAGGCCGGTTGGTTGGTGCTGATGTTGAAAGTTTGTCATGGGATCCACATGCTGAGCACTCGTTCGTTCGCGGCTGTGCTTCTATCAATTCCTGTTTGACTCAATCCAAATTGTCTACATTGATTGAAGCACAACAACGTCAAGTCACTTCTGGGAATTGTCCCGCACATCCCTGTGAGACCGTGTCTTACTTCTCTGTTTTTGTCTTCATATTCAGGTCTGTCTTGACAATGGAATGGTTTCTGGTTTTGATATTCGCGCTTCTAGTTCAAAGCTCTCTTTTGATCCAAAGGCAAGCTTCGCCCTATAACATTATATTTGCAGTTATGGGAGACACGATCCGATGCTGCAGTCTCCAAGAAATATGGAAAGTACAAGAAGCAGAATAGATCAGCCCGATCGTGAGAGTTAAAGAGGATTGTGGATTTGACATTTAAGGCACAAAAAAGTTGCGGCAGATAGGTGCTGGCTGATTACGGCAGCTCTATTTCATGATCCAATTTGAATACCAGGAGGAACGATGAGCAGAAGTCAGCACGCATGCAGACGGGTAAACAAGAGATTTTTCTGGATCGTTCATCCGACACTTCAAAACCATAACCGCGCGTTGAGCTGTTAACAAAGCTTGGGCTGTCATTGGCTTAAAGATGGGAAACGGTTGGAGGAAATTTTGAGGCATCATTCTGTCTCATATTATGTGTTTTAGATTTGGAGAAGTCAGGAATTAAATGTTGTACTTCTTGTTTCGGATTCCTTGCATGTAGATGATGGATGCAATTTTGAATGATGGATATGTTACATTCATGTAGGGGGAATATCAGTTGTGGGTGCGCTAAGAACCCTTTAACTGTCAAATAACGTATACTCCTAACATATTATGAAAGTTTCATGCAGGAATTGGCAGCTGAGCGCGGAGGAACACAAAAATGGGTATGATTGAAGCAGTGTAAAATTGTGATCATCCGACCTAATTGGCCTGTTTGCTCGCATCACATTTCATGAAAAATATCCCAAGTCGATCCCTTTTGGTACCATAACGATACTTTGATTGTTTCTGTAGTGTAGTGTTAGCTTGCGTAAAGGGAAGAATAAGAAAAGGGAAAACTCCTTTGTACTTAGGTCGTGTCTTTGTTGCTTGTGGACGTTCTTCTACCGCTTTGAGAGTTTAGAGCAGAGATGAAATAGATATGCCGCGGTGCAAGTTAATTTTCTAAATTTCTATGATAGCCCCCGACTTATTTCATACACTTTATTCGATTACGAGTTAGGTAATGTATGTATAATAAGTGTCTAGCAAGAATAGGCAGATAAATTCTCCATGTGTATTGAAGTTATAATAATAAAAAAAAAATCCCGAAATTGACATGCAAGCAAAGGTGAGTTCAAAATTTGATTTTCTGGTATAACATTAGAATTAATATTTCCTATACTGACAGTGTATAGCATTGGATTAATGACAACTATGCAAAATTTGAATTTGAAATTCAATTTTTTTGTAC